TCCTCTGGTCTAGCCAGACTTGCAAGGTCGAATTCGAGTCATGGTAGTGGGAAGGGGGAGGAAACATTTAGGAACTAGAGGAAAGTTGTATTTCTCATCGTTGTTACATCGCACCCTGACTGGCTCATCTCCTCCCCGAGACCCCTCAAGTTACTTTAAAAAGAAAAGACTAGTGTTGACAGAAAGGACTGAGGAAAAGGCTCCTTAAAAACTTGAGGGGCCTGGCTCGGCAGAACCATGTCTCTGGGTTAGATTGACCACCACGCGACAAGGAGGTGAAATTAATTAAATCATGTTATCTGAGATCACAAAACCAGTTAATGGATTGGAGCTCAGGTATTTAAAACAAACTGTTCTCAAACCTTCTAATAATGTTTCTTGTCATCTAGGTAATCCTTAACCTTGATACTCAAAGTAAGGTCATAGCAGGAAGCAAAGAGATAGTCATAATATAAAAATTCATCAAGGAACAAGAACACATAGAATTGGTCTTCTCTCAAATATTCCTCTGGCACAGATCAACGTCTATTTTGGCCAATTCCTATCAACTACTACTGCCAATTAAGATGTTTCAACAAACCAATCTAATGCTGAAAGCACTCACTCATCTATGCCAAAACGTTTAAAAGACAGCTACCTGGCCAGCCAACAGGAAGAGAGCTGTGACTGTTCTAAAGAAAGGTGACCCAACCAAATGTGAAATTATCAAACACTATCATTAATAAGATACACAAGTAAGAGTCTGCTGAAGATAATTTAAAAGGGATGACAATCATGCATCCACAGAGAACTGCCAGCAGTTAATACCAGATTCAGAAGAGAATGTGAAATAATCTGTTGGTGTCAGATGGATTTTAGCTGAAAGCAGAAAATATCAAGAAAATATTTACTTATTCAATTGACTATGCAAAGGCATTCTACTACTGTGTGGAACATAACAGGTTATGGATCACACTGTGCAGAATAGGAATTCCAGAACATTTGATTGTGCTCACGTAAACATATACATAGACCAAGAGGCTCAACAGAACAAGCTAATACTGCATGGCTCAAAATCAGGAGGTGTGTGTTGGAGCTGTATCCCTTCATCACATGTATTCAATTTGTATGATGAACAAATAATCCCAAAGCTGAATTGTATGAAGAATTAAGTGGTATCAAGACTGGAGAAAAGCTTATTAACAACCTGCAAAATACAGATAATACAACCTTGGTGGCTGAAAGTGAAGAGGATTTCAAGAACTTACTGATGAAGCCCAATGACTTCAGAATGGATTACATTTTGACAAAAAGCACAAATTCTCACAACTGAGCCAAAGAGCAACATAATGACAAATGGAGAAAAGACTAAAGCTCCCAGCTATTTCATTTTCCTTGGACTCACAGTTAACACCCATGGAAGCAGCAGCCAGAAAATCAAGTGACCTATTACACTGGGAAAATCTGTGGTCAAAGACTTCTTTAAGGCCTTTGAAAAGCAAAGTTTAAGTCTACTTTGAGGGCTGAATTATGCCTGCCATTGCCAGAGTATTTCTCAATCACCTCAATGAATGTGAAATCTGGATAATAAGCAAAGAACATCTAAGAATAATTTGATGCATATACAAAGATGATATCTTTAATATCACCAGAAGAATGAACGACTGTTTTGAAAGAAGTACAGCCAGGGTACTCTTTAGAAACAAAGATGGAAAGATTACATGTTTCAGAATGTGTGCATGTTATCTGGAAGGACTACTCCCAGGAGCCAGGCATCTAGCTTGGTAGAGGGAAGACTTTTAACAAGATCAAATGACACAGTGGCTAAAATAATGGTTTCAAACAATGCCTGTCTGGATGATGTTAATTTGTTCTGCTGTACACAAGTTACAACAATAACAATACTACCCTTGTCGGTCATTCTTGGTGAGTCTCTTGTATTATGATGCCAAACAACAATATAATATGAACACAATGTGACCAACTTGAAATAAAACTGTCTATTTTCCAAAAGTGATCAGTCAGATTCCATGGCGCTGGTGAAAGTGATGCTAAAGCACTGCTTGAATCACAAGCAAGGGAGAATCCAGTAGCTGGAGGTCAGTTAGCAATGAAAGACGAGGAGCCCTTGATGCTCACCAAGAATCCATTTCCCTTCCCACTGATTTCTCAATACCGGTGATACTTTTATTTATAGTTTAATAAACATACAGCTGTTAACATGCAATGGAAAGCCAAGTGTAAGAAGGGGATGTGGATTCATTTTTAAGCCCAAAGGACGAAATTTGTAAGTCCCTGACTATCAAACAGTTGATGCTGCAGCCCAGTTGCATCTTCTCTATTTAAGAGGCAATGCTTTAGAATGCTATAGGCCACAAATGAAAACATATATTTGAGAGAGAGAATACCATAAATCAGTGGTTCTTAACCTTCATCATGCCTTGACCTTTTAATACAGTTCCTCATGTTGTGGTGACCCCCAACCATAAAACTATTTTCGTTGCTACTTCATCACTGCCATTTTGCTACTGTTATGAATCGGGAGACCCCTGTAAAAGGGTCGGTCGACCCCATTTTGCTACTGTTATGAATCGGGAGACCCCTGTAAAAGGGTCGGTCGACCCCTAAAGGGGTTGTGACCCACAGGTTGGGAACCGCTGCCATAAAGCATGCTTAATAAGCATAAGCACTGGGAAAGTACAGTGCTCTACATACCAAACCAAACTCACGGTCATCGGGTCAATACGGAGTGGGCGACCCCACAGGGCAGGGTTGAACTGCCCCCTATGGGTTTCTGAGACTAATTCTTCATGGAGTAGAAAGCCTTTCTCCCTCGGAGCAGCTTGTGGTTTCAAACAGCTGACCTTGAAGGTTTGCAGCCCAATGCGTAATCGCTACACCTGCCACCAGGGCTCCTTATAGACACCGGTTAAATTAACCAGTAATCCGAAGTCATCTGGTTTATAAACACACTAAACAAAGGTTTTTCTAGAAGGTGCGTGACAATAAATATATAAAAATGATGTAAAATGATGACTGTGGACACTCACTGTAGTACAAGGGCGAGGAACGACTCAAAGGCATCCCTTACAGCTATCTACTGCATTCCTGCTGCGCAGACACGGGAACAAAGACTGGCGTAAGGCAGTGAGAGTTTGCTTTAAGAAACCAGAAGTTAGGCTCTTTATAAGACTCGTAAATTCCTTTACTGAGGTCCATTTTCCTATCAGAACCTCCAGATAAACAAACGAGCCATACTGCTTTTGTCTTCGTGGACAATAAACAGGATCACAGTCACAAAACGAAGACATTGCCATTGATCTCCTGAGACGTTTATTTTCTATAACGCTAACAGACGGTTGTTTTCCAAAAGCAACCAAACGTTTCTCGCATGTTGGGCATAATAGCTGTTAGGGAATGAGGGGGTGGGGGCTGCGGGGTGGGGGGTGAAAGAAACGCTAGCCTACCTTCCCAGCGTTCAAAATCTGCTCTTTCCATAACCCACCTTTCTCAGATGTACTGCAGACTTCCATGAATGCTCCACGCATCAAAGGCAGAACAAAGAGCTCCTGGAAAGAGCAGGGGCGCATAGGGCCCCGGAAAGGCAGCACGATCTCTACGGACGACCGTTTCTGCTCTCAATTAACACGCGCGGGAGGATCTGTCTTCCACTAGCTCCACCCCGGGCCCACAGACGGCGGGGGTGGGGTGGGGGATCCTTATTTTAGAAGCTGCTTCCAGGTCAGCGGCGCTGCTCCCTGCTGCGGGGCTAGATCTGACGACAGCTTCGTCCAGGGCAGGATCCTCGCCTCCCCGAGCTGTAACTGGGACACGCGGTTACACAACCGACGCCCGGCGCCGAACGCCAGCCCGGGTGCCCGGGGCTCGGCGGCCCCTCGCCAGCAGACGGGCTAGCGGAGGCTCCGGCGCGCGAGCCGTTTCCCGCGACCCCCTCTGCGGACGGCTCCGCCCGGCGCGAAGGGCAGGGCGCCGACCGCGGGCGCCCAGGGCGCGGGCGGCGGCCCGCGGAGAGAGGGGGCCCAGCCCGCACCCCGTCCCCACTTCCGCCCGTCCCTCCCACGGAGGCGGTACCTGTTTTCGCATGTTATTCATGACACCCATGAAGCCCGCCAACAGTTTCGCCTCTTCCCGAGCGGCAAGTTTCTTCTCGGTCTTTTTCTTGCTGCTCTTCTCCACCCCGGAGGCGGACATCC